TACCAAAATATACCATTTTGTTTTGAAGTTATTTGAAATAAATTTTTTTTTAATATTTTAATAAATTTATTTGAGAGAGGGCCGAGTGAGAGTGAGAGCACAAGCAGGGGGAGTTGCAGAAGCAGACTCCCTGCTGAGCAGGGAGTGGGGCTGGATCCCAGGACTCTGGGATCATGACCTGAGCCAAAGGCAGACACTTAAATGACTGAGCCACTCAGGCGCCCCTGAAATAAATTTTCAAGAGAGGACTTACAGGGTCAAAGTACATAAATATTTGTATGCTTCTCTCAATCTCTCTCTCTCTTTTTTTTTTTTTTAGGGAGAAAGAGTGTGTGCTCAAGTGGGGGGAAGGGCAGAGGGAGAATGTTAAGCAGGCTCCATGCTCCAGGAGATCATGACCTGAGCTGAAATCAAGAGTTGGGCGCTCAACCAACTGAGCCACCCAGGCACCCCTCTATGTTTCTTGGTAATAGATTTCTTTCTTTCTTTTTTTTTTTCAAGATTCTATTTATTTATTTAACAGAGAGAAAGAGAGTACAAGTAGGCGGAGTGGCAGGGAGAGGGAGAAGCAGGCGCCTACTGAGCAGAGAGCCCGACGTGGGGCTCAATCCCAGGACACTGGGATCATGACCTGAGCCACCCAGGTGCCCCTCTTGATTATAGATTTCTACCTTGTTTCCAAAATAGTTATGTTGCTTGATATATGTATTTATTTCTCTGCAGGCTAGGGAGATTTGATTTTACTAGGATGCATTAAATGCATCCACTTAGCACTTTATATAGGCCACATCTAGAGATGTGCTAGAGCACAATTCTTCTGGCTTGATCTGAGAATGATTCTTAGTTTGACTTTGGAGTGACTGAAAGTGATTTCTGGTTTGACTTTTGGGCAATAATTATGTTTTGTTTTAGGAGATTTTTATTTGATTCCAGAAGTATTTTATTCTGTCTTCCTTAGGTTCTGATATACCTCAGGTTGAAATTTCTCTTGCATAATTGAAGACTCTTCAGTATAGATACAGGAATTCAGGAATTAAACCAACCAATATAAGGAGAGAAGGAGCCTATGGAGGAAAACGAAGACAAAAAGATTTGTATACTGATTATTTGTTTTTCCAAAAGTATTCATTTATGATTATATGTAAGAAAAAGAGGATTTATAAACTATGTAAGTGAAACCTCATTCTTGGAAGTATATCAAGAGGGACTAGAAGGAAGAAAAAGGTCCATAGATAGAATAATAATAACTCTATTAGCTTTAGTTTTCTTTTAAAAAAAAGTAAACGTATTTGAATGATTATGTAAAGTTGCTGGTGTGTAGTGCTCTTAGACCAAAATATGTTTCTTTTTTTTTTTAAGATTTTATTTATTCGAGAGAGAGAGAGCACTCAAGAGCAGGGGGAGGGGCAGAGGGAGAGAGAGAGAAGCAGACTCCCCGCCTAGCAGGGAGCCTGACATGGGGCTGGATCCCAGGACCCTGAGATCATGATCTGAACTGAAAGCAGACGCCCAACTAACTGAGCCACCAAGGTGCCCCCCAAATATGTTTCTAATACTTTTTCCTAGTATTCTCAGAATACTTATTCCCAGACCTAGTATTACCTAGTCCTAGGTCAGACAATTTCTTTTTTTTTTTAATTTTTAAAAAAATTTTTTTAATGCTGAGTTGTTTTTTTTTTTAATTTTATTTATTTGAGAGAGAGAGTGAGAGAGAGAGAGCACAAGAAGGGGGTAGGGTCAGAGGGAGAAGCAGACTCCTCGCTGAGCGGGGAGCCCGATGCGGGACTTGATCCCGGTACTCCGGGATCGTGACCTGAGCCGAAGGCAGTCGCTTAACCGACTGAGCCACTCAGGCACCCTAGGTCAGACAATTTCAATGCTTCTTCAAATGAGGGTCTTTATTTTTTTTTTTTTTTATCTTTAAGTAATCACTACACCCAACATGGGGCTTGAACTCGCAACCCCAAGATCAAGAGCCACATGTTCTACTGACTGAGCCAGCCAGGCGCCCTTCAAATGAGTTTTAAAATATCAAGAAACTGGGGCACCTGGGTGGCTTGGTCGTTGGGCGTCTGCCTTCGGCTCAGGTCATGATCCCAAGGTCCTGGGATCAAGTCCCACGTCGGGCTCCCTGCTCAGTGGGAAGCCTGCTTCTCCCTCTCCCACTCCCCCTGCTTGTGTTCCCTCTCTCGCTGTGTCTCTCTCTGTCAAATAAATAAATAAAATCTTGGGGTGCCTGGGTGGCTCAGTTGGTTAAGCGACTGCCTTCGGCTCAGGTCATGATCCTGGAGTCCCTGGATTGAGTCCCGCATCGGGCTCCCTGCTCGGCAGGGAGTCCAGTTCTCCCTCTGACCCTCCCCCCTCTCATGTGCTCTCTCTCATTCTCTCTCAAATAAATAAATAAAATCTTAAAAAATAAATAAATAAATAAATAAATAAAATCTTAAAAAAAAGGTATGTTCTTTTATTTATTTTAAAGATTTTATTTATTTGACAGAGA